AAGTGCCCATCAATCCAAGAATGGATTAATGAAATGTGGTATACGTATACCATGGAGTACTATTCAACTCTAAGAAACAATGGTGATATAGCACATCTTATATTTTCGTAGTTAGAGCTGGAACCCATACTATTTAAGTGAAGTATTCCAAGAATGGAAAAACAAGCACCACATATACTCACCAGCAAATTGGTATTAACTGAGTAGCACCTAAGTGGACACATAGGTACTATAGTAATAGGGTATTGGGCAGGTGGGAGGGGGAAGTGTGGTGGGTATATACATATATAATGAGTGAGATGTGCACCATCTAGGGTATGGTCATGCTGGAGACTCAGACTTGTGGGGGGAGGGGGCGAAATGGGCATTTATTGAAACCTTAAAATCTGTACCCCCATAATATGCCGAAATAAAAAAATAAAAATAAAAAAATAAATGAAAGGTATGAAATGTAAAAAAAAAAAAAAAGAAAGAAAGAATGGACTTAAACAGAACCCTAGAACAAATGGGCCTGACAGACATTTACAAGACATTCTACCCCCAAACCACTGAATATACGTTCTTCCCCTCAGCTTATGTCTCATTCTCGAAGATTGACCATATCCTAGGACACAAAGCATGTCTCAAACAATTTTAAAAAATAGAAATTATACCATGTATCTTTTCAGACCACAATGGAATAAATGTAGAAATTAATCCTAACAGGAGTCATCATTTCTACACAAAGTCATGGAAACTAAACAACCATCTGCTGAATGATCACTTCATAAATGAGGAAATCAAGATGGAAGTCAAAAGATTCTTTGAACTAAACAACAAAGGTGACACAAGATATCAAAACCTGTGGGTCACAGCTAAAGCAGTCCTGAAAGGAAAGTTTATTTCCATAAATGCCTATATCCAAAAGTCAAAAAGATCACAAATAGACAACCTAATGAATCATCTCAAAGAGCTGCAAAAAGAAGAACAGAAAAATCCCAAACCCAGTAGAAGAATTGAAATCATTAAGATGAAATCAGAACTAAAGGAAATTGACAACAGGGAAACTATATGGAAGACTAATAAAACAAAAAATTGGTTCTTTGAAAAAATAAACAAAATTGACACACCATTGGCTAGGCTAATGAAAAGCAGAGACGAAAGATCTCTAATAAGCTCCATCATGAACAATAAAGGAGAAATTACAACTGATGCCACAGAGATACAAAATACAATTTATGAATACTATAAAAACCTCTATGCACACAAACTGGAAAATGTGGAGAAAATGGACAATTTCTTGGAAACACACACCCTTCTTAGGCTCAACCAGGAAGAAATAGAATTCCAGAACAGACCAATATCAAGTACTGAAATTGAAACAGCAATAAGAAACCTTCCTAAAAACAAAAGTCCTGGACCAGATGGTTTCACACCTGATTTTTACCACACCTACAAAGAAGAACTGGAGCCTATCCTTCAGAAATTATTCCACAACATCAAGAAGGATGGAAACCTCCCCAACACATTATGAAGCAAACATAACCCTGATACCAAAACCAGGAAAGGAGGCAACAAAAAAAGAAAACTACAGACCAATATCCCTTATGAGTATAGATGCAAAAATTCTCAACAAAATCCTAGCCAATCGAATCCAGGTGCTTGTCAAGAAAATAATTCATCACAACCAAGTGGGCTTCATCCTAGGGATGCAGGGATGGGTCAACATACGCAAATCTATAAATGTAATTCAGCATATAAACAGAAGCAAAAACAAAGACCATATGAGACTCTCAATAGAGGCAGAGAAAGCATTTGACAAAATTCAACACCTTTTATGATAAGAACACTCAACAAAATAGGCATAGACAGGCTTAACTAAAAATGATACAAGCCATATATGACAAACCCATGGCCAATATCATTCTGAATGGGGAAAAATTGAAAGCGTTCCCACTTAGAACTGAAACAAGACAAGGTTGCCCACCATCTCCACTTCTGTTCAGCATAGTGCTGGAAATCTTTGCTACAGCAATCAGACAAGAGAATGGAATTAAGGGCATAGAAATGGGAGGAGAATAGATCAAACTCTCACTCTTTGCTGATAACATGATATTACACCTGGAAAACCCCAAGGATTCAAACAAGAGACTCCTTTATCCAATAATGAATTTGGTGAAGTTTGAGGATACAAAATCAAGACACAGAAATCAGAGGCATTCATATACGCCAACAACAGTAAAAGTGAGAACCAAATCAGAGACTCAATTCACTTCAAAATAACAACAAGGAAAATAAAGTACCTTGGAATATATTTAACTAAGGAGGTAAAAGACCTCTACAGGGAGAACTATGAAACACTGAAGAAGGAAATAGCAGAGGACGTAAACAGATGGAAGAATATACCATGCTCGTTGGTCAGTAGAATCAACATTGTTAAAATGTCTATACTACCCAAAGTGACCCACAGAGACAACACAATCTCTGTCAAAATACCATCATCATTTTTCACAGATATAGAAAAAATAATTTTATGCTTCATATGGAACCAGAGAAGACCCCGTATAGCAAAATCAATCCTAGGAAATAAAAACAAAATATGAGGTATCAATTTACCAGACTTCAAACTATACTACAAGGCCATAGTCATTAAAACAGCTTTTTACTGGCACAGGAACAGGGACATTGACCAGTGGAACAGAACAGAGATCCCAGATATAAAACCATCCTCATATAGCCAACTAATCTTCGACAAAGCAGACAAAAACATACACTGGGGAAAAGAATTCTTACTCAACAAATTGTGCAGGGAAAACTGGATAGCCACATGTAGAAGACTGAAACAAGACCCACACCTTTCATCTCTCACAAAAATCAACTCACGCTGGGTAACAGACTTGAACCTTAGGTGTGAAACTATTAGAATTCTAGAGGAAAATGTTGGAAACACTCTTCTAGACATTGGCCTACGCAAAGAATTTATGAAGAAAACCCCAAAGGCAATCACAACAGGAACAAAAGTAAACAAATGGGACCTAATGAAATTAAAAAGCTTCTGCACAGCCAAAGAAACTGACAAGAGAGCAAACAGACAACCCACAGAATCTGCGAAAATTTTTACAAGCTACACATCTGATAAAGGGCTGATAACTAGAATCTATTTAGAACTCAGGAAAATAAGCAAGAAAAAATCAAACAACACTATCAAAAAATGGCCAAAGGACATGAACAGAAACTTCTCAAAAGAAGACAGAATAATGGCCAACAAACATATGAAAAAATGTTCAACATCTCTAATCATCTGGGAAATGCAAATCAAAACCACAATGAGATAACACTTAACTCCAGTGAGAATGGCCTTTATCAAAAAGTCCCCAAACAAAAAATGCTGGCGTGGATGCGGAGAGAGAGGAACACTCCTACACTGCTGGTGGGACTGCAAACTAGTTCAACCCCTGTGGAAAGAAATATGGAGATACCTCAAAGCAATACAAGTAGATCTACCATTTGATCAGCAATTCCACTACTGGGCATCTATCCAAAAGATCAAAAGTCACTTTATGAAAAAGACACCTGCACTTCAATGTTTATAGCAGCACAATTCACAATTGCAAAGCTGTGGAAACAACCTAAGTGCCCATCAATTCATGAGTGGATTAAAAAAATGTGGTATATGTATACCATGGAATACTACTCAGCTTTAACAAACAATGGTGATATAGCACCTCTTGTATATTCCTGGGTACAGCTGGAACCCATTCTACTAAGTGAAGTACCTCAAGAATGGAAAAACCAGCACCACATGTGCTCACCAGCAAACTGGTATTAACAGATCAACACCTAAGTGGACATATAGGAGTAACATTTATGGGGTGTCTGGTGGGTGGGTGGAAGGGGGAAGGAAGGCATGGGTATATAAAACCACAATGAGTAAGATGTGCAACATTTGGGGGATGGATATGCTTGAAGCTCTTACTCGAGGAGGAAGGAGGGTTTGGGCAATATAAGTAACCTTAACACTTGTACCCCCATAATACGTTAAATAATAATAATAATAATAATAAAAGGGCTTCAACATTTAAGGTAAGCATGTCTAAAGGAGGCACACTGACTTGCAGGGAAATATCTATTTTGAGCCTGCCCGGTGTTGCTCAATTGTAGTCTCCCTGGCCAACCGTTCATACAAGAGATGTGGGAAGAACCATAAAAGGCATTGTGGGGGGCTGTGAGGGAGTGAGAGAGAGGAGAGTTGAAAGGCTGATCTGCTGCTTTACAGTAAAACCCAGAGAAAGTGAGCACTAACGGGAATGTGGTTTTATCCCTCTGGAATTCTATTTAGCCCGCCAGGAATTAACTTTGACTATAAACAGGTTATGAATGACCCTGCACAGAATGTTCAGAGACCTCAACTTTGTGTAGAGACTTTGTGGGAGTGGAACTTCCTGTTTGCACAGATTGCAGTATAAAGCCCAGGTGCTCTGGGGAGTGTTTAGCACCAGACCCATTGTAGGGATTAGGGTACATACAGGCTGATCTCCTCCGGTCCCTTCTGCCTGCAGCATGGAGAAGAACAAACTCCTCCATTCAAGTCTTGTTCTTCTCCTCCTGGTCCTCCTGCCCACAGAAGCCTCGGGCTCTGCAAAACCGTGAGTTCCACACAGAACACGAAGCATGAACTTAAAGAGTCCTTTCCTTTATTTCAGAATCTGCTTTGTATCATTCATCTGTCTTTCCTGTGAAACTGTCTCCTCCTTCATCTCTAAGTTTTCTTCCAACCAGGAAAATTTGTAAATCTGGTTTCTTCATTCTTCACTTATAATCATTTTTCTCCAGCTCTCTGGATCTCTGAATCTCTAAATTTCCTGGTGATATGCAATGCCTTTCTAAGGGGCATCAGAAATTCAAACTTGTTTTTAAAGGAACCAATTTTCAGATCTTTGTGGTCATATTGCTCTGCTTGAGACCATGCTACTTATTTATCCTTTCTTACCAACCCCCTTTCTTAATTACGAGTATTCTATTTTATAAAATAAAGAGAATCTTCTCCCTCAACCATATGTTAGCATGGATCATTGTCCTGGAGTATAAAAATCTCCAGAGTGCCAAATAAAGGAACAATGTGAAATACTGACATTGGTGTTGAGAAAGCAAAGGACTCTCATGACAAGAGAGAAAATACTTTTGGAGCTCAGGTGGTGATGAATTCTCTGTTTCAATGAAACTAAAGGTATTTCTAAAGGAAATACCAGCTGATAAGTGATTAGAAGCAATTCTTGCTAATAGGCTACTGGGTGAATTTAGGCATGTAATGCAGAAGAATTTATAAGTGGTGGGAATAATACTATTGTTTTACCTACCATTTATAATTTTATGTAAACAATTCTTCTCAGGACTTAAATCTACACAAATCATAAATAGTAACAAAATTACTGTTAGACCTTATTTAATTCTTGCAATAAGGAATACCCACCCATGGATACAGAAATTCACTGGAAAAAAAAACAGCTCATCATTCTCACTAAACATGTGCTTCAGAATTATTTTAATTTTAATTTTATATCTAATATTCATGAAACATACTTTGTAATGTATTCATTTGTTTTGATCAGTTGTATACAAGCACTTTTATAAATAATTTAATCAGAAGAAAATATCTAATATTTACAAACTTACTGTCACATTATCTTTATATGAGGAGTTAAAGCTAAATTTATCTACCCACCTGTAATATTACATATATTTGTACATATACTTGTTAGCAAAAAACTAGGAGTGATCCATAAAATATTTTGAAGCACAAAAATCTTAGGATAAACTTCTATATGGTAAGAAGCATGGAAATTCAAGTTAAAGGAGGAAAAAGAATGAAATATGTTAAAAAATTGACAATTACAAAAAGAACTTATTAATATTTTAAGTTAGCCATATTAGGTATCTTATCACTATAATATTTAAGATTCCATGGGAAACTTGTAAAAGTAATCAAAGTTTTAATTTAACATAGCATCAAAAATAATATCTTTTGCAATTAATTAAAACTGTAGTTTTAAAAAGAGGCTTACTTGAAAACATGTAAGAGCACAATGTTCAAAAATTATTTGGGGAGTTTTGTGAGCAAAAATATTTAAAAACTACACAGTCAATCTTAAATTCTATATCAGGATACTGAGAAAGTTTCTGTCCTGCTCATAATTTAGCAAGATCTAAGTTCAATCACCAGAGGGCCATTTTTGGATGGAGCCATTGTCTAAACATGAGTCAAAAGGCAAATATTTAAAATGCAAACATCCAAGATTAGGTAACACTCTAAGACTTTATGAATTGCTAATTACAACTGAGACTATAACCACTTCGGTACCAGCGCCGACTGTAGTCGACAGCCACAGATGAACGCGCACAGCGACTTTAGCCAATAGCACTGATATGACTTTTCTAATTTTTCAGTTACCAAAATAAAATTGTGAACATTTAAAAATAATGTAATGAGGCCGGGCGTGGTGGCTCACGCCTGTAATCCTAGCTCTCTGGGAGGCCGAGGCGGGCGGATTGCTCAAGGTCAGGAGTTCGAAACCAGTCTGAGCAAGAGCGAGACCCCGTCTCTACTATAAATAGAAAGAAACTAATTGGCCAACTAATATATATAGAAAAAATTAGCGGGGCATGGTGGCGCATGCCTGTAGTCCCAGCTACTTGGGAGGCTGAGACAGAAGGATCACTCGAGCCCAGGAGTTTGAGGTTGCTGTGAGCTAGGCTGACGCCATGGCACTCACTCTAGCCTGGGTAACAAAGCGAGACTCTGTCTCAAAAAAAAAAAATAAAAAAATAATGTAATGAAAACATATGTGTATATGTTACCTATTCTGGTTTACATTACAAGTAAAGCTGCCTGTAAAGTAAAACACGTTTTCAGAGCTTTAAAGCTGTCCTCATCACACAAGAGCAAAACGGATGCGTCACCAATGCACAGCACAAACTCTCATGCGGACTGTGAGTGCCAGGTGTGGGCTAGGGTTCCCGGCCACTGAGCGTCATACTGAAGTGGTTAAAATAATGACTCACTTTCTTTGAGGCTTAGATTCCATATCTGTGAAGTAGAAGCAAGTACTTGACATACAATTTCACAGAGTAAATTATATGTATGTATACATATTTTTTCCCTTTTAAAGGAATTTTTATAGTTTGATTGGTTTTTCAGTGTTCACATGCCTGAGGGCTTGCTCGCTTTTTACAGCAATCCTAAGGTAAAAGAAATCACATAAATAAAAGTAACTAACATATTTTTTATTTGAACACAGATGCCCATGTCTTAGGATTCCTTAGAGTGAAGTATGCCTACAAATTTTATTCTCTTAAGGCCCACCTCAAGTAAAATGTTCACTTCCATGGCATGTGATGGAAAGGAGAAATAATTCTTATGCGTACCATTCAACAGCTGAGTTTCATGCTCATCAATCTGTCTTCTCTCAGAACTGATGATGATAACAGCAATTATATGGAAAACAGTGCTGTTGACAGCGGTGCCTCTCTTCTTTCCCTCCTCTCTCCCCACTGCGCTCTCCCAGACACTACATGGTGCTGGTCCCCTCCCTGCTGCACACTGAGACCCCTGAGAAGGGCTGTGTCCTTCTGAGCTACCTGAATGAGACAGTCACCGTACGTGCTTCCTTGGAGTCTCTCAGGGGAAACAGGAGCCTCTTCACTGACCTGGTGGCGGAGAAGGACTTATTCCACTGTGTCTCCTTCACCGTGAGTGTGGCCGCTTGAATTTATGTATCCAGCTCTGTTGGTCAAGGTCTTAGGGATCCAGTATTCAGTCAAGATAAGGCTTGGGAGGCTAGTAAGAACTTCAAGAAGGAATTCAAATGCAGCAACAAAGCATAGAAATTAAAAAGCAACGCAGCAGAGCTGGGTGGCTCACACCTGTAATCCCAGCACTTTGGGAGGCCAACCCAGGAGAATACCTGAGGCCAGGAGTGCGAGAACATCATGGGTAACACAGTAAGACCCCATATCTACAATAAAAATTTTTAGCTGGGTATGGTGGCTTGTGCCTATAATCCCAGCTACTCAATGATAGTGAGACAGGAAGATCGCTTGAGCCCAGGGATTTGAGGTTGTTGTGAGCTATGATTGTGCCACTCCCCTCTAGCCTCGGTGACAGGGCAAGATCCTGTCTCAAATAAATAAATAAATACAAGCAATTTATGTATCAACTTAATGATTAAAAAACCCTATTAGATGGAAAGAACAAAGAACATAATATGTACTAAACAAAGAGAAAAGGTAACTCCTTAAAATTATTAATAAAAGCGGAGAAAATCTTAATAAAGCAAACTAGACCCAGAATCAACATGAGCTGCCACTTGTGGGCTGAGAAGAACATATGACTCCACACTCTAAGAGTAAAAATCATAGAAATTACTCCAAGAAAATGGCTAATGTTTCTTAAGAGTGGCCCATATGTGAGAGGTTTACACCTAGTGCCAATTAAATATATAATTTTTTATAGCCTTGAGACATGCTTCTCCCGTGCCCTTTTGGCATATAACATCGACTTGGTAAAGCTCAGCGTATACTTGAATCAAGACTCTATTTTCTGGGCTATAGGAACATGTGAGTCTCAGTTATAACCTCTCTTACTGAAGTATTTTCCTCCACCTGTGTTCTGGCTTCCCATTTGTAAAACAGCAAGAGCCATTCCCACCCATGCCAGCTTTCCCCGCTGAGACTGCAGGAGTGAAATCAGGGCAGGATCTCGGGGAGGAGTGGAACAGAGAATGGCGGAGGGGCCTTGGGAGGCTGAATGGGCTCTCAGCATCTCTGCTGCTTTGCAGATCCCGCGGTCTTCGTCCAGTCAGGAGGTGATGTTCCTCACCGTCCAGGTAAAAGGATCAACCCAGCAATTCAGCAGCCGGACCACAGTGATGGTTAAAAACAAAGAGAGTCTGGTATTTGTCCAGACAGACAAACCTATCTACAAACCAAAGCAGACAGGTATGGAGAAGCCTGAGCAACTTCCAAGAGAAAGACCTTCCTACCCTGGATATTCCCCAAGCTCCTATAATCTTGGCTCCTTTATTGCGTTTCTTACCAGCCACTAGGCCTAGTTTAGGGTTTGGGGGCTCATGGAAAATATTTTTGTTTCAGTGAAATTTCGTGTTGTCTCATTGGATGAAGATTTTCACCCCGTGAATGAGTTGGTGAGTCTCCTGTTACCTACATAAAATCATTATTGTGTGTATAATGGCCGGGAGCCTACTTTTAGAGTCGCAGGGAGGACCAGGGAGAGGACAAATCAGGCAACACCACCACTAATCCTGGCATTACGGGGCCACAAATTCCTCATTTACCGTGTTATCCCAGGTCAAGAGAGTAGGTAACTCTTTCTGTCTTTTGCACTATTACTCAGTTGTGTTCACACAATTAAACTTACTCTTTAGATAGTTCTCAGTTAAGGATATTAGAAAGATACACTAAATAATAGACACAGATAAACCACCAGAGGACCTAAATTTACATAACTTTTCAGAGATTTAGACTTTTTGTAAATACTCCTACCTAAACCTCTGCTATAAAGGAATATGAGGGTAATAAATTTGTTTGATTGAGGGTAATCAAGATTAACCTTTGATATTTGTGATAAAAAAAAAAGAGAATTGTTTGTATTATAATGCAGACATCAAGCCAAAGTCTTCCTTTTGCTCTCCCAAATCTAGTCCTCTGCCACCTTTTCTTATCTCCAAAAGAGGCAATTCTTCTCTTCTAGCTCCTAAAGCAAGAGATTGTGTTACAATCCTTCCTTCTCTCTCCCACATCCACGTCCACTTCACCAGAAAATCATGTTGAATCAAAACATCTCCAGACTACTTCTTACCACCTGAATTGCCACAACCTATTCCTGGTCAATATCATCTCTAAACAAGATCATTGCAGTAACATTCATTGAAAGTGAGCTGCCAGCTTCTATTCTCACTCCTCTATCTAAAATCAAACGCCACATCCATCACTCTGTCAGCTTAAGCCAGCATTATTTTCTTCTCTGGCATTTACTACCACCTGAGAGATGTACACAAAAGGTTTTCTTCCCATTTGTTCATGTGTATTATAATATAAGTTTCGTTAAAACAGACATATTGTTTTTTAGCGCATTGCTATATTCTCAGCACCTAGAATGATGCAGAGCACATGAGTAGATACTTAATAACTATTAGTTTTAAAAATGAATAAGCATTGAAGGCAGAGGACCTATTCCCATTCTTCCTCATTCTTAGAATTACCTAAAATTTCTATCACCCATTCATCTGAGCATGGTGGCTTACAGTTCTATGTTTCTTTCTTGATCTGTATAACTGCATGGCAAAAGAAAGTTCTTCTCTGGCAATCTGGGAGGCCAAGGCAGCAGGATCACTCAAGGTCAGGAGTTCAAAACCAGCTTGAGAAAGAGTGAGACCACATTTCTACTAAAAAAATAGAAAGAAATTAGCTAGACAACTAAAAATATATAGAAACAATTCACAGGGCATGGTGGCACATGCCTGTAATCCCAGCTACTCAGAAGGCTGAGGCAGGAGGATCGCTAAAGTCCAGGAGTTTCAGATTGCTATGAGCTAGGCTGATGCCATGGCACTCTAGCCCATCAACAGAGTGAGACTCTGTCTCAAAAAATAAAAAATAAAAAAAAAATACTCTTCACTAAAATTCATTATATGTACTTAAGTAATGTTAATAAATCCCATTCAAAGTGAATGGCAGTGTATATATATATTTGTTTCTGATGATCTGATCAGTACTTAATATTATGTATTAATTGCTGAAAATAGATGAATTAAAAGTTCTTTAATAGTTAATCTGGAATCTTTTGTGTTTTACTATAGAGAGAGTTATTCTACATAAAGCTGCTTTGCTTATAAAAAGGATTTGGGAATATTTGAGAACAATTATAAACTCCTTTTTTGCTTTCTCCTTTCAGATTCCGCTAGTATACATTCAGGTAAGCAACTTGAAACATTCTGTAATTGGAACAAAAGCAATAAGTTCAGGGAAAATGTTCTTATTTGATGGGTTCTTGCAATATGTTAGAAATGTGGCATTAAGGGAGAAGCCTTCAGACTCACCTAGGATTGGGCGGTTATAACTCATTCCCCTCCTTGCCCCTCACCATGACCTCATTAGTCTTCTTTGTGGTAAATATAGCAGGTTTTTTTGCCTTTCTTTTACTGTCGCTAATGATCTAGATGCGTTTGTAAGTGATAATGAATTTATCCATAGGACCCCAAAAGAAATCGCATCGCACAATGGCAGAGTCTCCAGTTAGAGAGCGGCCTCACGCAATTGTCCTTTGCCCTCTCATCAGAGCCCTTTCTGGGCTCCTACAAGGTGGTGGTACAGAAACAATCAGGTGGAAACGTAGAGCATCCTTTCACGGTGGAGGAATTTGGTATGGATAATGGAACATCATGCATACTTTTTTTTCATAGTTAAGCCTCTAGGGTTCAGAATTTGAGCTTATTTTGGAGTCTTTCCCTTCCCCATGGGTGACATTGGGCTGGCAGTAGAACTAACTATATCTAAATATACATATATAGTCTAATATCTAAATCTAATATCTAAAACTATATCTAAATCTAATGAGGACAGTAAGGATTTGAGAATAGGACTTCATGTAACTTGGTTATTTTTGTAGCAATAATTAATACTCTAAGAGGTATAGCAATCCTTATTTTAGTGGAGTCTTCGATAACTCATTAAGGATATTATAATTAAAGATCTGTCATAATCCCTCAACCAAAATCTCCTTTAAAGCGTAAGGTAGATGTCTTAATCAAGTTAGTGTTCCTATAAAGCAATATATGAGGCTGAATAATTCGTAAAGAAAAGAGGTTTATTTGGCTCATGATTCTGCTGGCTGGAAGACTGGGCATATGGTAAAAGCCTCAGGCTGCTTCCACTCACAGCAGGTAGAAAAAGGGGAGCTAGCATGTGCAGAGATGACATGGCAAGAGAGGAAGCCAGAGAGAGCAAGAGGGAAGGTGCCATGCTCTTTTTAACAACGAGCTCTTGTGGAAACAAATAGAGAAATCACTCATCCACTCCAATCTATTCATGAGGTGTCCATCCCCATGACCCAAATACCTCCCATTAGGCCCCTACCCTCCAACACTGGGATCAAATTTCAACATGAAGTTTGGGGTAACAAACATCCAAACTATAGGAGTAGATATGGTTATATTGTAGAGTACCTTCCTTTTCAGACACCTAAAATAGAATTAAGAAATTATTACAAAAAACCTGAAAATATTAATGCCCCAAAATTGAAAACTAATCACCAGCCTTCTTTATTGCTATCAACAGTGCTTCCCAAGTTCGAAGTGCAAGTGACAATGCCAAAGGTAATCACCATCTTGGAAGAAGAGATGAATGTGTCAGTGTGTGGCCTGTAAGTGGATTGTTTTTCATATTTTGAAGAAAACTATTTAAAAGAGACTCATGATTTGGGATATTTTGGCTAGTTTCTCTAGGAGCAGTGGCAACACAAATACTTTATTTTGGGAACATCACCATCTGTAGAAAGTTCTTCTTCTTTTGCTTTTCTATTTTTCCTTCTCATTTTCTTTCATATCCTTATAAGTATTACTATAACTTTCGGAGGTGAGGAACTGTTTCTACAGAGGCTACACTACTAGGATGGATTCTGAAAATGATGAAACTGCTGCACACATGCACCAAAGCAAAAACAAAACAGGATAGTGCTGAAGGATAGTGGCTTTCTCTTAAACAGAAGCAAACAGACACATATTAGAGAGGTGATC